ATTATTTGTTCTACTTTAAATATATTAAATATATATAAAAAATAAAACTTAATATATAATAATTATAACTTAATATATAATATAATAAATTAAAAAAATATATGTATATTAATTTAAGAAGCTATTACAGTTATAGCTTATTAAATTAATATATATTTTTATATTTTTAATTTATAATAAATTATAATATATATATATATATATATATATAAAATATATATTAAAAAATTATATATATATATATTTAAAAAATTATTTACTTAGTTTTTTTCAATAAAAAATATTTAATATATTTTTCAAATTATATATTATTATTTTTGCAATTTACAATACAAATTGATTTCTTATTGGATTTTAATATGATTTTTTTTTTAATTGAAAATATTTAATTACAAATTTTTAAATAATATTTCATTTATAATTTTTAATGATGTTTAGTTTCTAGACAAATTACTTATTTTTTTATTAAAAATAATTATTAATTTTTTTAATTGAATTTAATTAATTAAAATAATAATAAATTATTTTTTAAATAAAAAACAATGTTATTGAAATATTTTTTTTTATTATTAAAAATAAGGTTTTATTAATATTTTAAACTAAAAATATATACTATTTTTTATTGCAAAGAGTATATAATAATATTTTTTTTAATATTTTAAATAAGAAAAAATATATTTTTTATTAAAAAATTAATAAAAATTTTTTTAATTATAAAATTGAATAAAAACAACAAACAAACATTTTTAGTTATTATAATTTATTGTTAATAAAAATAATTGATTTCTTCTTATCAAACACTTTAATTAATTTTTATAACTAAAAAAATATATATATATTTTTCAATTTAAAAATAAAATTAGGTATTTTTTTCAAAACATAAATTATTTTACTAAAACATTAAACTGGGATTAAACTACTTGTAAATAGTTAGGATTTAAATTTAAATTTGTTTTTCTTTCTATGGCATATTTTTTAATTTAATTAGAAAAATTTTAAATTTTTATAATTAAAAAATACACATTTTTATAATAATTTTTAAGTAACAATCATTATGAATTTTAGATTTGAAATCAAAAAATTAAATATTTTTGAAGTAATTGATTAAAAATCATATTTTTAAACCAATGCCTGTCCAAAGGACCGTTAAATTTATAATAAAAAATATTATCAGATTCCTACTTTAAATTCAGTTCCAAAATCTCTACAAACTTGTGTGCAATTGTTAGTTTGTGTTTTTTTTCTTAACCCTACTCTACTACCTAACTATTTTTTAATTCTATATAGTTAACTCTGAAACTTGTAGCATTAATTTTAAGTTTCTTTCGTTTTTAGTGAATTTTTTGTACATTTATTTTAAATCTATACTAAACCAACTAATTTTTGTAATTTAGTTTTTTGTGTTTTTTTTTTTAATTTTGAATGTTTAACAACTAGCACCACTGTTTGTAAAATTGCACTTTTTCTGTTTTATATGTAATATTTTTTAATTTTGTTTTCTTAATGAAATAAATGTGATTATTTTTGTATTTATGTGTTTGCACGAATTTTATAAACTAAATAATAATAACAATAAAAAATAAAATCAAGAAAAAAATATTAATAAACAATTGGTATGAAAATTATAAACCGTCTGCAAAAATGTTTTCCTTTTTTACATAGCGTGGGAAAATAAAAAATATATATTTTTATATTTTATCGACGTTGGAGGAATGTAAAATATAAATTGCAAAGAAAATAAATGACCTGTATATTTTTTAATAATAAACTTTAGTGAAAAATTGGTAATTTATTTTAAAATAAAAAATATTGTATGGAAAATACAATTTTACCCATTATTTTTGATTACTGCCTGGACAAAACTAAAGCAACTTTTAAATTGTTTTCTTATAAATATGTAAGTTTTTGTAGTAATCGATAGCCTAACCATTATTTTTGATTACGGCGGCGCACCTACGAGGCATTGAATCTATAAAATTCCCAATTTGATCCTGGGATGTACTTTTTCTCGCACCTTTCGGAAAAGGTTATGTCTGTTTGCTTGTCAAACTCTTTTTTTTTCCTTTTGCTATCCATGATACTCCAAATCCTGATTTTCTCCCGCAACCAATCTTTGACAAGTTTCGATGTATGTTTGAGATTATTGTCAAGCTGAAATGCCCAAACAAGCGGTATATTTTTTCAGCGTTTTCCAACCCATTTTTATAAATAATAATCATAAGTCTCGTAAATAGTTCGAAAGAGAAAAAGAGTCCAGTGCCATTATTGTCCCGCCTCCATGCTTCCCAGTATAATTGTATACTGAAGCCTGAGTCTGTAATTTTTGGCCTTCTCTAATTCATCCGAGAACATACTTTTTCTGCACTGAATCGAATTCCAATTGATATAAGCTTTTGGTAAAGCCAATCTGGCTTTCCGATACCTTTCAGGAAATATATGGGTACGTAGACCTTTTACCACAGCTCGTCTACGATCCAATTCCGGTTAAAAAAAATAAAAATCTCGATTTAAACCAGTGAGTGGAGCAGTATAGTCGGACGGGGCCGACCATACGATACCATACACAACTACCACGGAACTCAAATTTTCTGTGGATGTTTATTCTGACTGAGCCTGGGCAATATTTCGTGATATTTGCACCCTCTTGCCCGATTAGAGGTAAACAGCACCCCTTCCTCACACTGACATATTTTCCGAATATTACGAGTATTCAGTACAGCTATTGTCCAGATTCCCTTCACCGTGGGTTGTGTTGTGATGTTCGGCTTTCATTTGTGGTCTATAGATCGACTCGAAAATAACACAAAAATTTAGTTTTCGGCCCACATCAATCCAAAATTATTATCTGATCATCACCGAAAATTTTAGGAGTTGTTCTTGACCATAACTGGAACCTCATGGAACATTTCAAAGCGATCAGCGCTATATTTCCGCTCTCTAGAGTGATAATGGGTTACTAAATAATATACGAATACGGAAATACCTGCAAATATTTAGGTGTAACTCCCACATCCGAGCACATACAACAATATAATTGGTATTAATTTAAAGGTCAACCACTCCTCTTGGATAAAATATAAACTTTTCGGGGCTATGTCCTTCATGGGTAAATATATACGCTATAGAATACAAATTTTGTCATTTTTCACACAAAAGTCAGGGTCCATTTGACCTGCTAAATATTGGCCAATCTTTATGAAAACAGGCATGCTTATACTTTGGCCCGATCCCCTTCTCCATGGAAAATTTCACAATGTTCGGGCCATTATTGCGGCCTCTGGAGCGACCAGAAAAACCGACAAAAAATATTTACCGATCTTTCCCAAAAACAATAGGGGTCTTCATTGACCAAAACCCATCATACATGCAAAAATTTCGTGAAAATTGTGGCCTGTATCGTGTTTACAAATTATAATGGACAGACGGGCAGACGGACGGACACACATGTCTAGATCGACTCAGCTAGTCGAGATATGACGATCGGTACACTTAAAAGTGGGTCTAGGACCAATATTTCGCGGCGTTACAAACTTTTGGGGCTGCACAAAGCTATAATACCCTGTAGTGTATAAAAACATAGATTTGGGCCAATATATACATTATTTTCCATTATAATGAAATAATTAAGCAGACAACAAATTTTGAGTTTAAAACTAGTGAGCGGAGCAGTATAGTCGGATGGGGTCGACCATATTTCTGCGGAAATATATTCCAAGCATGTATAACATTTCACTCTTTTGAACGATTATTGGTCACTAGCTCTTCTTTTTAGCTCCGGCATATTTTCCAAATATTATTTCCTTGAGGTGAATATTTACGCCAGAAAATAAAAATTTGGTAGCTTTAGGTTTGGTTGATTTGACCCTCGCAATATTGACCGATCATCAACTAAACAGCCGTTCTAAGTATTTGGTTAGAAAAAATCCGAAAATGTCGATAAAATCGGAGAAATGATCGGAGTTGACCGGCATGTTAGTACTGGTCGTAACAGGAGATGATAACAGGATCACATACGATAACCCTGTGTCAAAACGATCATGGTCAAAGAGCGGTGAATCACCTCATCTGGAATCAAAAAACAGGACTAACGGCCAGGAAGATTCTGCAATGCATTTTGTGGGACTGGAAGGGAATTATTTATTATGAGTTGCTTCCATATGCCCAAACGCTAAATTCTGATCTTTGCTGTCAACAAAAATAATGTTTTTGATCCATTTGATCTCCTTTATATTGACGGATCATTACCGAAAACAATAGGGGTCTTCTTTGACCAGAACCCATCCTACATGCAAAACAATGGACAGACGGACGGACGGACACATATAGGGCCAATATTTTGCGATGTTACAAACACTTGAGGCTGCATAAAGCTATTATACCCTGACAACATAGTTGTGTAGGGTGTAATACAAATTTAAATCCTGAACTCAAAGCATAAATTACAGATCATATATTGAAAATCTTGATTTTATTTTTCAAAAATAAATAATAACAATAACCTTTGCACAAAATTATATGTGTTTTTTGTTTTATTTTAATTTTAATTTTTATACTATTAAGACATTTTAATTTTATTAACAAATATTTTCCTTATAATGTACACCCTAACAACGTAATCAATGTAATTTTTTTCTATATATTGAAATTGTTTTCTTCTTTTGAAATGAAGCTCCATAAATAAGTCTCCTCCCCCTCCCTTCAACTCAAACCTCTGAGTCTCCAAAGTGTTGTGTCACCCCACATATATATAGTATATACTTTCTTTAAAACTTAGCAATCCGACGAAATCAAAAATAATAATAACACGTGTTTTATTGTTTCGATAATAATAACAACAACTTCTACTAAACCAAAGAAATATTAACAATTTTTTTGTTTTTCAAACTAACCAAACTAAAAAAGTAAAATCAAAAATTAATAACAACGACAATCATTTCGAAACTCACCACATGTTTCCCGTTTTTTTTTTTTTCTTCCAATTCCGATTTTTTCTTTTTTAGTGATGATTCTAACGACAAAGATAATGAAACGTAGAAAAATCCCATAAAAACAAACTTAAAGACCATCATCCACCCTTTGTACGAAATAATTAACAACACACATTTGTAGTTTGAACCATGTAGTTTTGAAAATTGAACTAAAACCCCTCCTACATATTCTAAACTAAAGACAAATAACCTAACTAACGAAGATGATGATAATGGTGATCTAGAAAACATGGTCCGCCTCCTCCTAATGTAAAAAAAATCATGGTGGATATATTAAAAAATGTGTATGTTGTATATACCCGAGTAACAACCACGAGTGGGCCTTAAAATTCATCCAAAAATAATAAATTCCTTAAATCCAAAGAATAAAGACAGAATGTGGGGAATTTAACAACAAAAACAGCATGCCATCCTATGTTTGTGCTATCAACAAAAACCCCTCACCCAACCACTTGACAACTTTCATAATAATAATAATATTTAACGAATTTACACACAACGTTCCCCAAAGATATTTAAACATAATTATTGTATATAAAAATAGTTTTTTGTTGTATATACAAAAAAAAAACCCTACTAAATTCCAAAATCATAAAATTTAATAATCCGAATTAATTAAAAACACCAATCAGTCTGTGAATGTGTAAGTACATCAAGGAGTCAAAATTTGTTTAACCTTTTTAAAAAGAGAGTGTATATGTTTGTAGTTGTAGAGTGTAAAGCCATTTGTATATAAAACACACAAACACAAAATAATGTTGTAAATTGGCTGTATATATTTATTTTTATTATTAACAAAATTTATTAATTGCACTAACATCGGTTTTTTATTGTGGCAGGTATATTTATTATAGTAATATTTTGAATATTTCAGCTATATAGTTATACGTATTTAAAGGTCAAATATAAATATTAAAAAAAAATTAAGTATAATAAAATTTTTGATCGGAAAATTCCAAAATATCACAGTTCTCTTGAGCCACTAGAAATTTGAATTATTAAATAAATTTCTGGAAATTATGTTTTCAAAAGTTAACCGATCAACTCCAAAAATCAACGTTACCTGCCGGATGAAGTGTCCTGAAAATTGGCTAATAATTACGACATATTTTTTGTTTCCAATTTTAAATTGCCACACGGAAGTTATCGATGTACCTACATTGTATCTTTGTGAATGTCTCTACTTGTGGCAAAAACACAATTCTCAGTGATTAGAAAATTAATTAAAAAAAAATATATATATAATATAATTTTTAACTAGTGAGCGAAAATTTTCATACCAAAATTATTATCTGTGCATCACAGAAAATTATAGGCGTTGTCCTTGACCATAACTGGAACTTCATGGAAAATTGTCAAAGCGATCAGGGCCATATTTCCACGCCTCTGGAATATACAAACAATTTTTCGGGTCTATGTCCTTCAGGACATTTTTCACAGAAAATCCCGGTATATTTAACCCTCAAAATATGGAGCGATCTTAATTAAAATAGACATGCTTATTGTTTGGCCCGATGCCCTTCTCCATGTAAAGTTTCGCGAAGTTCGGTCCATAATTGTGATCTATGTGATCTACCCGACAAAAATTAAGTATTTTATCAATTTCATTTTACAATTTAGAATGGACAGACGGACGGACACCCATGTCTAAATCGACTTGGCTATTCAAGATTTAACGTTCGATATTTCACGGCGTTTCAAACTCTTGGGGTTGCTAAATCTATTCTACACTTTACCTGTGATCCTTATTTCAAATTTAAGAGTTCTAGATCTACCAAATAAAAACAGTACCATATTTAGTACTTTTCGTGTCGTTATAATACGAGTTTCCCAAAATCCAGCCCAATCTGACATCTTCGGACTAGCCCTCACCCAAAATTTCCAGATTTTAGCTTCAGCCATTTCTTCTGGGCGTTGATGAATCATTAAGTCAGTCAGTCAATCACGTTACTGTTTTATTAATATAGATTAATTGATTAGAACCGAACTCTCAAGCAAATTTCGTGACGATCAAGAGATTTTGGGGCATCTGAAACAATTGACTATTACTTTACAGCAAAAATCAGGAATTCGAATTCAAATAGACTTTTCCCGAGGACTGTGTTTAGGAAAGTCTGATCAATATTTGCAATCATGTGAATTCGAATGGTTATGGGTCGATTATGGAACCAAACTCCAGTTGCGATTTCAACGGGCAACGCCACTGAATATCAGCTTTTAACATTATGAATATCAACTTTTCTCAGTTACCGTCGATAATACTGTTTTGACACTTCTGAAATATTAGAATTATTGTAAACAAACAAAAAATTGAATATAATATTTCATTAAAGCTTATTTTAAGTGATCATAACCTCAGCGGAACTATTTTTTCCTAGTTTCCGAAAAGACTGACGGTCAACAGCAATTCCTCCTATCTTAAAAGTGTGTGCAGCTCTGAGTTTTTTTGCGGAGGGAAGTTTTCAAAAGTCCCATGGCAATGACAAAAACCCTGGCATGGCTCAACCCACAATGTCGGTAGTTTTGACCGAAGTTACTCTTGTTCGTAAATTCTGGCATTCGTTGTCCTTCTTAACTTGTTTCACTACATTTTCCTGTTCCTTGTCAGTGTTTAACTCGATTTCAAGCAGTTTCTCCACATTCAATGTATCTTCTGGATTCTCCATATCCAATGTACCTTCTGGATTTAATGTCCAACCCATGTGTAATAACAGGTCCGCTGCCGCCTGCTTCAATGCTGATAACAACACTTATTCCGATGGTCCACCACCGGTGATGTTATGGTTTCTTTTATTCTGCACCATCTTCTTTTTCAACTATGCCATAAAATGAATCAAAACTCTCAGCCATTCATTTGGAGTGCGTGTTGGTGGGCCATATCTGTTAAGGTCCCCTGAAATGGCCTTCCACACATCATCGGTAGTGGCTTTGGTTTGACCAAAAGTCCGCACCCGCGTGCTACATTTGGGTGAGCTTCCATCCGCGCAATTAAGACCTCAAATTGTTCTTTGGTAGTAATTTTAACCAATATTGAAACCCTACAAATTTCAGTTATTATTGCTAAACAGAACTAAACAGGAACCAGAAATAAATGGTTGCCAAAAAATTCTATTTGAAGCAACTGACGTTGACAACAGTTGCCATCCATAATTCTAATTTGGCAACGCCAAATTAACTAAATATAAGAGAAAAAATCGAATCGATTATCACATTGTCGCAATATTTGATAGTATTTATAATCGATTTCAAATAAAAGAAACTTTTCTGTTAAAAACGATTTCGACTGTGCCAAAAATGTAGTATTGCACAATGTTTGACCAGTCAACATAGAAAAAGACTGACAAGTATCCTAATATTTAGACCAGTAGAACTACCAGATGGTCGTTTGTTATTTTAGGTGGGTTCATATTAACAATTTCTTGACGGCCTTTAGATAAGTCTGAGCTAACTTTGAAGAAATTCGGAACAATGAGTCCGAGGGAATTTAATTTTCTATTAGAGAAATGTTTT